ATAGAAAAGAGGGTAGAGAGAAGCAACGTGCACTGATGCAAAAGGTCTACAAACAAGATGTGATCAACCATTATGGTGAATGATTAAATTTTTAAAAATGTGTTACAGTAAAAGACACACTGCATTAATCTCCCTCAAAATCTTCCCCTCACTTCCAACACACTTATCCCATTATTTTTGCCATTTCTGAAGCAGTACTGGAAGTCCTCTTTTTAAGTATCTTTAGTTGTGCTATTGTAGCTGCCTTGATGTCCTGAATCAAAACATTTACCTTTAGGGTCATTTTGACTTTCTGAAAGAACCAGAAGTCCCACCGTGCCAGACTGTATTGCCTTTCCATTGGATGGCACAGAACAGCTGCATTCACTATATTATTTATCATATTTTTAAGGACACTCATAAAAGAGAATTTCCAGAACTACTTTGGAAAGTTGCAAGAATGATGGGAGTGTTTGAAGGAAGGGAGAGTATCTTGAGAGTATTAACAGCAATGTATCTTTCATTGTAAAATTTTTTAAACATTCACCATATTTGTCAATCACATCTTATATGTAAGGCTATCATAAGTTTAGTGCTGATAATGAGAACGCCTTTACTCAAATTACAAACTGCTTCTACTATGTGTACAGCAAATACGCACATTTTGGGTTTTGCTAACAATGAATCATAAGATAGTTTCCCTGTAGGAGGAATAATTTTCAGTATTTCCTACTATAATCCCTGAAAATATTTTAATGTCATTTTTGTACCAAAATCCTATCACCCAAGAGACAATATTTGTTAATATTTTGTATTTCTTGTCAATCCTTTCTATCATTTACATGTAATGTTATAAATAAAACTATATATAGATCCCACCAAAAAAATGTATACATCAGGAAAACTTTTTTAAAAATTTTATTGGTACATTTTAGGTATACAATATAATGACATTCATCGTTGGAAATTTGGACCTTTATATAATGTCTCTTGGTTCTTATTTTCCCCCTTTCTCTCCCCTCCCTTCAACCCCTCCATCTCTCCCTATTTACAAAGACTTTTTCCATTTTCTTATATTAATTCCTTAATTCCCTTCTTTAATTTCTCCTACCCCTTCCACTTCCCCTTTGCCCCTTTTCTTCCTATTTCACATTATTATACCTTTTAGTCCTTAATTACACTTTCAGTTTCTCACACTACAGAACCTATTTGGTATTTACATGTGTGTCCTGTTTATTTCACTTAAGGGGATGGCCTCAATGTGCATCCATTTAGCTATAAATGTCTCTAATTTCTCATTTTTTATGGCTGAGTAGTACTCCATTTTATTTTTTAAAACCCACATTTTCTTTATCCAGTCTCCAGCTGATGGGCATTTGGGCTGCTTCCAAGTTTTAGCTATTACAAATTGTGCTGCTATGAACATGGGTACACATATATCGCTGTGGTATTCTTTTAATTCTTTGGGGAAGATACACAGTAAAGGAATAGCTGGGTCAAAAGGGACCTCTAGCCCTAGTTCTTTGAGGTATCTCCATACTGATTTCCACAGTGGTTGCACCAGTCTATACTCCCAACAGCAGTGAAGCAGGGTTCCTCTTTCCCCACAGCCCCGCCAGCATTTGTTATTGGTTGATTTCTTGATAGCAGCCATTCTTTCTGGAGGTGGAATCTCAGCCTTGTTTTCATTTACATCTCTCGAATGAGCAGTGATGTTGAACACTTTTTCATATGTTTATTTGCTATTTCTACTTCTTTGAGAAATGTCTGTTCATTTCAGATGCCCATTTTCAGATTGGGTCTTTAAATTTGGGAGGTCTAATTTTTTTCAGTTCTTTATAGATTCGAGATAGTAGACCTTTGTCTGAGGAACAGCAGGTGAAGATTTTTTCCCACATTGTGGGTTGTTTCTTCACACTGTTGGTGGTTTCTCTTGCAGTGCAGAAGCTTTTTAGTAAGAAGAGATCCCACTTGTTGATTGTTTGTGCTAGTTCACGGGCAACTGAGGTTTTGTTCATAAAATCGGGAAAAGTAAAACTTGTATAACTATTTTACTACTAAATTGAATGAGGCATCATGAGATTAATACAAGTTACCTTTGGCCTCTGCAATTACAAGAGGTGCTCAAAGTGACGGCCATTAGCTTCCAGATGTTTATTAGTATGGTGAACTGCTGAAGTGTGTTTATATTTTTGGCAGACTCTGTATTTTTTTCTTTTAAAAAAACATTTATTTGCATGTTTGCCATACATTATGATTACTTTCATTGTGGGTATCTTAGTTCTTTTTAATTCCCTTCCCCTCCCCTCTTTGCCCTTCCCTCCATCTCATGGTCTTCTTCCCAGTGCAAAAGATCTCCCTGCCTATTTCCTTTGATGTACATTTTATTTTGCTTTTTTTTTTTTGGAAATCACTTATCAATTTTAATTCCCTTATTTTTGAAAGGAGAAAAAAACAGTATCCTAGAATTGTCTACTTACATAGACTCTATATTTCTTTATGACTTTCCTTTCAACATTATTTATATATTTTCATGTCAGTAAATATTTTTTGAAAATATGATTTTTAATAGCTAGTTCTACCACCTAATCATTAATTTGACCATTCCCTATTATAGGGTATTTTGATCATTAAAAGTTTTCACTATTGTAACACCCTATGTAAATTAATGGCTCCTTAAATGTAAAGTTCTACACTTTACATTTTAGAATTCAAAGTGATAACTATCATATACAGTAATAAAGTATGGTTTGACTTCCCCTCCCTCCCCAATAAATTCTACTGAACAAAAGAAATCAATCTAAGGCATTACAGGAACAGACACAAAAGGAAGAAAATTTAATCAATTTTTCTCTAGTCATTCTTTTACCTCTGGTAGGAAAAAGTTCCACAGAGATAAGTCTCTGACATCAGAGAAGGCAAGAATAGCAAGTCAATTTTCCTTCTACAGTCACTTGTTTTCTACTTAGAGTGATGAGCCATTACTTTAAATAAGAACAGCACAAGATTTATAACAAACACTGTTGTCAATACCACTGCTTATGAAAACCAGGTTTTCCTATTAAGTAAAATGCCTAGAAAAATTGTGCAAACAAAAGGTAATGTAACTATCACACAATAGGAAAATAGGTTTTCTATTACTCCGCCATAACTCTGGAACGAACTAATAAATGTCGTATACTCTGTCCCTTCCTTCTTAAAGCCTCCCAATTATATGAAATATTATTCAAGTTGCCAGAAGCAGGACAGTTCCAGAAACTCAAGAATCAATAACTAAACTAGTGGCAAATCATGTGGAAATTTCAAAAACAATCAGCATCAGCTTCCGGGCTCTCCTGCATGAATTTATATTGCTTCACCAATTTTCAAAACTGTAAATTTGTGTACATAAGTTTAAAACTCAAACCAAAATTTACTCATTTAGGGCCAGAGATTTAGCTCAGTGGCACCGCACCTGCCTTGCCAGCGCAAGGTCCTGAGTTCAATACCCCGTACCAAAAAAAAAGAATTACTCATCTATTCCCAGTTTGGCCTGGTGTCAACATAAATTAAATTGCCTAGTAGTCTCATAAAATTCCACAGTGAAACAGGTCTGTGTTTAAACAGTCAGAAAAAGAAAACTATGTAACATATACACGTTGATGATGATAATATATGCCATTCTGAACTCCTACTGAGCTGCAGCTCAAAGGAAAATTGTAAAGATGAATTAAAACTTGCCTAAAATGCTTACTTCTCCCCCAAACAAAACAAAAGTTCCCATAAAAGAAGCCAAATACCATTTTTATTATAAGTTCAAACAGGGTTTAATAGCTCAGAATTCTGTACACTTGAGTTTTCAGAAGCTGAATCCCAGAACTATTATAAACATAAACTAAATAACTTTCCTAAATGTTCTTATTTATTACCCATCTTAGGTCCCTCAGAGACTACTTTTTATAATATCTCAAATCTCCTACAAAAGATTACTGTAACCTGGGCTACGATGTTTACAGGTGTCTGCGCCTCTTTCCTCCAAAGAGAGAAAAAGTAGGAGACAGGAAGCAGCAAACAGAATGAGATTATATACAGACCAAATAAAAGCTTGTAAGATTGCTCCTTTTATACTTGGGCTATTCTTTTCATTGATATATAATACATTTTAAAGAATAACATTCACATTAATACAATCTCTGCCCTCACGTCTCTCTGGCTGGCTGATACGCGTTTTCTCCTCAAATAAATAACAGGCTGTTGACCGATGCTTGCCATGCAACGCAAACAAGACATAACTGTCCTGTAAGACAAAAATCTCTCTCTCCCGCTACAAGACGTTACGATACGCTTGAATTAAAAAGCACACTGGAACAACAAAAATCTTCCAGCACGTCTGTCATTTAAAAGCACGATCACGAAAAGCTGTCGCTGCGACCCAATTTTAGGTCACAGCCTTTTTTTCTTGTGCCTTCTCCCCACCCCGATAGCGATAAACTTCAAAGGGAATGGTGGTAACGTGGAATCCTCTCCCCCTCCCACGCAAAAGAAATCAAAACAAAAAACAAACAAAAAAACTGGCCAACTTGGACGCTGGCAGGGCTCACGCGGAACCCGCGCCCTCCCGGGCCGAGAGGGCAGGGCAGACCGCAGCGAGGAGAGGCGGCACGGGCTCCCCAGCGCCTCGAGGAGACGCGGAGCAGGTGGGATTCCGGGAAGCCACCGCCGACTTACGTAACCGGCTTGTCAAACCCAGCACCAGGACCTCCCCCTCCCCGCCCCCACCACCCAAACAACAACAGCCCCAGGCCAGCCCGGAATGGGGAACCTGAACTGAGAACCCCGGAGCCCCCCACGCGCCGACGCAGGGGCGCGGACGCTGCTCGGCCCCGCCGCGCCACCCCGGGCGGCCCGAGCCCGCGGACGGCGGCCCGGCTGTGAAGAGCCCCCGGGGGAGGTCGCGGGTGTCCGTGCCCCCGACTGTCACCCCTCATGGCCGTGACAGCTCCTCACGCGGCCGCTGCCCGCGTCACCGCCCCCGCACTCACCTCCCCGCCGGCCCCCGCGCAAACAGCCGGTCGGGCTCGAGGAACGGCGCCAGACCCCTCTCACGCTCAGCGGCGGGACACGAGGGGCTGAATGCCGCGGCGCTCTGAGCCTGCTGAGCTCATCCCCCTGTCCGGCGCTCCGCCCAGAGCGGCACCCCCGCCCGCCCAAGCCTGCCGTCTCAGTCAGACGGGACTCCCCCTCCCCTCGCGGTCGCCACTGCCTCCGCCTCCTTCTCCAGCTGCAGCCGCGGCAGGCGCCACCACCGGCGCCATCTTGGCAGTGACGCAAGGGTGGGGGCGGGGATCGCGCCCGAGCGCACCAATCACAGGCCGAGGCTTGCTGGAAGGGTTGGCAGAGGGCTGCGTAAAGGGTCTTGGGGTCCGAGCGCGGGGGCTGAAAAGGGGCGGGGAAGGTGGGCGGGGCGGAGCCCGTTGGGCTGGTGACGCGCGTGGTAGTTGGGGAAACGCGTCGTGGTTTCCCCTCAGGTCGGGAGATCCCGAGACCGTGGCTGGCGTGGGCGAGGTCTGCAGTGCCTTCCTCTTTCACCACCCCGAGGCACGAGGATTTAGCTTGCGCCTACTGACCTGTTTCTTCCTCTCCGGTCTCCCGGGAGACCTTTCTAGCTAGAGCTCGGCGCGTGGGTCTGAGCTGCTTCTGGTCCCCAGGGACACTCAGGTTCTTCAGGAAACCCCCTGGGGGGTTAGCAACCACCTCCTGGATTTCGGTTCCAAGACGGAAAGTCAGGCAAAAGGGGGAATTCAGAGGGGTGCTCCAAAAAGTATGTTGATAAGACACCTATTGTTGGCCGAAAGGTGTCAGTTACCTGGATTAATTGAATATGGCCTACCCGAGGCCGACTGTGTCTCCACCATTAATGGCTTTTGGCAAGTTGCCTCTGAAAAATGAGAAAAATAAAGGTTGATTACCCTTATAGAGTTACTGAGCGTTAAATTCTATAGTACACATGAAACGCTTAGCATAGTGCCTAAAATACTCAATAAATGTTAGATATTATACGATGGACAAATGAAGGAAGTAATAGGACCTTGAAAATCCTGGCGTCAAGTCAACTTGTGCAAAATAGGCATTCATCTTTTTTAGTGCCAGCCAGGTTTATAGTTTTATGTTCTATTTCCGCTTCTTCTATTGTCAGTCAGCAAACATTCAATGAAACTTAAGCAGAGGGGACACATAGATGAGGGAATCAGAAAGGGAGTTGCAGTCTAGTGGGAGAAGAGAAACAGTCTATAACATTTGGAAGGGAAATATGCCGCAATGGTTATGACCCAAAAGAATTCTGGGGTAGCATATACCAAAATGATTTTAAAAGCCAGAGCGCTCATCGGAAGCAAGAGAAGGAACCAGTGATGGGAGAAAGGCCCTGGGAAGTTGTATAGGCAGAGGGGAAGGCTGTGCAAAGAACCTGTGGCAGGAAGGAGCTTGGCAACTAGAGCTACATGGAGTCCGTGGTGCTTAGGAAATCTGTTTTACGTGAAGAAGGCTACCTTGGGACTGGAGAAGGTGTGAGGGCTCAGTTCTGCAGGGCCTACAGAGACGTGGAGGCAAGATTGGGCTTCGCATGATGATGCACACACAAGTAATCCCAGCCCTCGAAAGCTGAGGCAGGAGGATTGCAAATTCAAGCTTGGGGAAAACTTAGCAAGACATTGACTCAGGATTTAAAAAAAAAAATAATAAAAACGCTGGGGAGATAGCCCAGTACAAAGCCCCTAGGTTAAATCCCCAGTACATATCACAAAAGAAAAAAAATTTGGTTTTATTCTAGTTGTAAGCAGAAGTCATTGAAAGCAAGGCACAAGGAAATTATAACAGTGACACTTTGCAGTGTGACATCTGTATTTATATTTCAGGCAATATATGGGCCAAAGAAGTGGATTCAAAGTAAGAAAAAAATTTCTAAGATTTAGCCTCTTCAACCTAAATTGGCTGAATTATATATTCCATTCTTACATTTTCTCATTGTTAAAAATGTATCACATAACATTGTAAACAGAAAAGCATTTTCACTGAAAATTGGTTTTTTTAAAGTTTCATTAAGGTTCAATTGGTAATTCCTATTCTTTTTCCGTTGGACACACATTTAGCTTTTTTTTTTTTTGGTTTTAATCATTGCTACACATGATGACCCCATTTCTCTTTCAGGAGTAGTAGTTTGATGTATTAAAATAATTGAGCAGCAGCAAAAAGCACTTCATATATATATAGTTTACTAGGTATAAATTAAAATATGGACACACTTCCAAGAATAGCTTAAAGAATAGGATTATAAAACGTTTCAAATTTTTAATCAAGAAAAATAGCTCCGAAAAGAATGATACTCAAAAGCAGTAGAGAACCAATAAAAAGTATCTGACTACGTTGCTCAGGAAGTATCTTTAAGTACTTCAGAGCCCTTAGAAGGCATGAATCCCCTACCTATCCCTGGCATGTGTCACTACAGTCACAACTACATTAACTTGAACCCTAAATGTGACTTGGGCAAGGCATTCTAACAATGTAGATGTGAGCCACATAGAAAAGTGTGGCTTATAAATCTTGGCCCCAAGCTATTTCTGAAATGATGTCATCTTTCACACCTGGAACTCGATTTGGCTGTTTTTTAGAAGTTATTTTAGAATACTGTTATTTGAATGATGCATGAAGGGAAACTATGAAACCAGTAACCATTTACAGCACTTTAGCTGTTTTACAGCTCAATCTCCTCCACCTGTGAAATTCAGGTACCTTAATTGTTATGCCAGATGTTTCCCACATCTTCAAATGAAAACCTGAAGCTTTAAAGCACATCTTGATAAGTATGCTGCAGGGTTTCCTCCTGAGCGAGAAAACCTTCCACCAGGAATTTACAAGCTTTTAGAGACTGGTTGGATGTGTCCAAAAGCAGAACATACTCTGCCAAAATGTATTTGTTGTGAAATAGCCTTAGAGTGACACTGCAATGTATTTAATCCACAAGCTGAAATTTATTAGCAATGTGGTCAAATCATCAGTTTATTTCTTAAAAGGACCAATCTGGCGAAATTCTCCTTGAAAGACAATTTATCCAAATAGTTAGAAATGTCAGATTCTAAGCCTGGTGCTTAAGAGAAATGGCCCAGAACAGGCAGGGTGGGACAGTCTGAGACACAGTGCTGTCTCTGCCCTTCGGTGGCCATCTGAGGAGTCATCTTTGACTCAGCGCTTTTTCACCACTTTGAAAATTATCACTTCTCAACATTCTCAAGTCAGTAATTTTATCTCTTTAAACAATTCGAATTTTTACTCATTAAGTTGCAAAGTTATTTTTAAATACTGTATCTGTTTAGTTGCCATTGTGCACAGTCAAATAAAAAAGACCCCTTGACTTTCTTTAATTGGTAAGACAATATTTTCATAATCCTGAGAGAACCTAGACTTTCTATAAGAGATGAGGATATCCTTTTGGGGGGGCATTGAGTTGGGGGCTGAGGGTGGTACACGGCAGGAAACATTTCTTTCTTTTCTTCTATGCATCTTTACAATAGATGTAATAAATGAAAGAGATACTCATAAACCTTTCCAACACTTCGACCATCTTTGGGAGTGGCCAAAGGTTCAAATAATTTGGAAGGATGGATATCTGCGCTGACTTGCAGGAAATATGAGTCAGCTTTTTTCATCTACTCAGCACTCTAGGTGCAGCCTGCAAGTTTGGAAAACATGAAGCTGAGCAAATCAGACACCATCTTTTCTTTTCATTGATTGGCCCAGACATGCATCCTGCAAGAGCAGACAACAGGGACGCCCTTTTATTGTCTAGGCTTAAGGAACCTTGCCAGCAAAGGGAAACACCTGCAATGGGAAAGAATAAACAACAATAACAAAAGAACTTCTGTTTTCTATATAATCCTGCAGAATAGGATACAGACACATAGGAAGTTTGTACTCCTGCACTCCAGGATTGTATATTTAGCTGCCTCCAGATTTCTCCACAAGTACACTTGAAACTCAACATTTTCAAACATGAACTCATTATTTTTACCCTACACTTGTTACTACTGTATTCTCTACTTTTTTGAATAGTAACCACAGTGTATCTGATCACAAAAGTCAAAACCTGTGAGTCATCAAGTCTTCTCTTTCATTCCTTGACATCTAATCAAGCCTCAAAACCAACTGACATGGCCGGGGATTTAGCTCAGTGGTTCCGCTGCCTGCTGCCCAAGTGCAAGGTCCTGAGTTTGAGCCCTGGTACCAAAAAAAAAAACAACCAACCAACAGACATCACCTCCTTAACATCAACAATATTCTTCCTCGCCTCTCCATTGCCATCTCCACTGACCTAGTTCAAATTTTTTTTTAACCTGAAATTTTGCAGCAGTTATCTAATTGGATTTCCTGTCTCCTGTCACTCTTCTTTTTAATCTATCCACCCCTGTGTTGCTAAGCTGATCTTTCTAAAAAAGAAGCAAGATCAGTTGTTACAGTTTGAAGTTGTTAGATTCCTCCTCTCCTTTCTGTTCTCACTGGAAAGATCATCAATGTCCAGTTTTGATGCTACCTGGAGCTGGGCATCAGGGCCTCTGTGTCTTTCCCCAACCCCTCTCAAACTCATACTGTAGGCTCTTTGTGTGTGTGTGGTATTGGAGATTTTAAATTTTTTTATTAATATATGTTTGCAATACGAAATAATTACATTCACCTTGGGGAATTGGCACATATACATAGCACATCTTGTCATTCTTACCCACACACACACCCTTTCCCAGATTCCCTGGTACGGGGGATCGAACCCAGAGCCTTGTGCATGCTAGGCAAGTACTCTAGCACTGTACCTAGCCTTTTAAAAAATAGGTATTTTCAGAAAGTGTCTCTCTAAGTTGTTCAGGTTGGCCTCAAACTTGTAATTCTCCTGCCTCAGCCTCCTCAGTAGTTGAGATTACAGGGATGTGCCACTACTCCTGCCACTGCAAAGGGTCTTAACTGGGAGAAGGCATTTAAGCCTCTGCTGCCCATAAAAGTCCCTTATCCCCCTTTCACACACGTGCATACAAATAGATGAGTCAGTTATATCAAGTGAGTTATATCAAGGGCAAAATTAATTCAGAAAGGACAAACTAAAGATTAGCTTTTTCAAGATTCAGAGAATCATAGACTTTTAATAATAAATATTTAGATTTAAAACAGAAAAGATCTCTCAAGCCTCTTGTAAGGTGGTTTTCTTATTAATTAGTCTCTACAAGCTATTTTAAACACTTTAG